TCCTACATTCCCGTTTCATTACACATTACACAATTCCTGCTAAAAGAAGTCTGCATGCTAACACAGACTTGAAGGTAAAGGCTGAAACACAGGTACTTTGCATCTTTGCTACAATTTCCATTTCAATACTACTGTGACAATTATACAAATATTCCTATTTGCATGCCATAATATTAAAATGAATGCTAAGGGTTACATTTCAATATGTACCTATTATCAAAATTTCAAAATAAAGCACATTACCTCAGATTAGAGGAGGAACTGACACAGGGCTAGCATCATGCTGATTCAACAAGCTAAAACTATTTGCCACCCAATATAAACACTTATTTTAGCATAAGGGTGATTTTTGTCAATTAACTCCTTTTTTAACATGATTCCTGAAAGACACCAATTAAAAAAAAAGAAAAGTTTAAAAAGGAAGAAATAGAAAATAGAGAGAAAAACCTAGGAATGGATGCTGCCTGGCAATAAAAGTCATTTTCAAAGATCATTAACTATCAACTGTTTTACTCATGGCTCTGATTAAATAAGATTATTCATCTTATGTGAAAAAGATGAATATTTTTGAGGGAAAAGCTTTAGAATAAAATATATCACATGAACTATAAAGAAGAATCAAACCACAACACATCATTTAGATATCTGACTTCCAAGAAATACTGTAGATAAATCTTTAAATTGTTAGAGACTAAATTTTCAAATTATTTTGGAGGGTTAGGAAGAGAGAAAATAATTACATTGTTTTCATTTTAAATACAAATCCTAAGACTGGCTCTGTGTTTGTCCTGAAGACTTGAAAAAGGCAAGGACTACTAGAATAAAAACTCATGGAAAGCACTGTTGTAAATGGATTCCAAGAATGTTATTATATAGTTCTTATATATTTTAAAATAATTTCTCAGAAACGTTCTAGATTTTATACGAGTCAAAAAGTTTACTCTGCCCTATCTCTGGTGAGTAGATGGTCTGGCATTAACGTAAATTGCTGATTTAATTTTTAGCCTTCTCGATCTTGTCCCTCACCTACCTAAGAGATGATTTCTCTGGTGATAGCTAACACATCGTGCTAATGAGAGAATCTAATGCACAATAGAAAAATGTCACTACTAATAATATTTGCATGAAGTTAAATAGAGCAACTGTAAGAGAATGTCAGACAGTTGTTCTTTAATAAGACACAGTTTCACAATGAAATTATGTTGTTAATTTTGTTACATCATTGGGTGAATCCTAAATTACTACATAATGATGCGCAGAGTCATTTGTAAATCTAACTCAGGATCTCACTCGCCTCTGAAAAGAGGCTTTGCTTGGGGATCTGCATTTTATTTGAAACAGGTTAAGTATACCTCCGTAACAATAAAAGACATAAACACCTCTGCTAATATGTGAAAAGTGCACTATCACCGTCTGCCTGCACAGTGTCATTTCCTAAAGGGACTTCAGATGGATCAAACTATACCTTCTCCTGAGGGAAGTTATAAGGATTTTATTTGCTACTTTCTCAAATACACAAATAAGTAGAAAAATAACCTTTCAAAGTTTGATTTAAAAATAAAATTTCCAAAAACAAGTTCCTCTCTCCACTACCATCCCCCCACTTTTTCTTTTTAACAATACCTTATCAATCTATACTGAGCAAACTGAGACCTGGGACGATAGAAGGTAAGGAGAAAGAGGAAATGGGTTTTGGATATTATCGATTTGTTACTGATAAAGCTGAATCCAGAGCTCCCAGTTACAAATGTCAACATCTACACCTTCCAAGGTTCTCAAATATCTGCCTACAAAGAAAATATTCTTTTTCTCAAAAACAAATATATACTTCGGTGTTAGAGAAAATAATGCAAGATAGGCAAATGAAGTCAAGAAGCCATATCTAAAGCTTTACGGGGAACATATTTAATCCCACCAAGTCTGAGCCTTTGGATCATTAAATCATTTGTTAATATTAGATAGCAGGGAAGATTTACATTTCAGGACATCTGACTTCATTCAGGTGAGCTACAAGGTAAGGAGTGCTCAGCTTCCTAGCTTACCTTTAGAAGACACAGACTTAGATTATTACACGCCAATACTCAGCAGACACACCAAGCATACGTTCTCTGTAGCTAAGCACCATACGTGGTAAGCTCTCTACAAGTCCGTCTTGACCCATCTTACCCTGGCTCTACTGGTCAGTCTTGTCCAATGCTTAACCAAGTAGTCAATGGAATATTAGTTTTTATCCTATTACAGAAAGCTGTGAAAAACTGCATCTAATAGATCTTATTCATTTCATGAGATAAATCTTAAGTTAAAAATTAAAATAATCATCTAAAGTACCTTTTCTGTTCCAAAAAATTAGATATATGGAATTCTGCATATTTGATTAAATTGGAAAAACTTTTATCTTTAGCAAAAGTTGGCTTAATGTGGGTATTGAAAATATTATCTCTCAAAATTGCTGGCTTTAAGAGATAACATTTCAGGAAGTGTTTCACACACACACACACACACACACACACACACACATACACACACACACCTCGCTGAACCAGCACTGCTGATGAACTATACATAAGGAAAACAAACATATTAAACATGCACAACATAGGCTTTTATATTTACACAGAGTTTGAATTTAAGCTTACACAATCTTGAAAAAGAAAGAAAAACACATACACATGTGTAAACTCACGCCCCCTTTTACATGACTTCCAAACTGCACAGAAGGTAAATATTTAGTGACCGTGAAAGTAACTGGAAGGCTATGTATCACCAACTACATCAAAACAACAACAACAAAATAAAAAAGGAACTACAGGAAAACAGTTTGATAGCATTTTTAAAAACTGTGATTTTCATCCTTTGTTGTAGTATTCTATTTAATAGGTATCATTAAGCATAAATGCCTACCCTATATATTTATTCTCCTCAAGTCACTGATATTCACTATACACATGCATTCATACAGGTACACACAAAACAGACCTTTGTATCCCCACAAACAGCTGCACAGAAAACAGCATGATAGGCTGGTCATAGAAATTCCTCTATGAGAAATTTAAACTGTTTTCACAATTCTGACCTATTTTTTCATATAATTTGCTTTTATTTTTTTTAATCTTAAATGTTTTCACCACTTAAAAGTCTCCTTAGATGCAAATTTATTTAGAAATGGGCTCATGCCAAAGAAGCAATCTAACACCATCTATGTGGTTCAATAGCCATTTATCAATTGATCATTATCTCTGTTTTATTAACTCTTTTTTCACTAGAGGGGAAAAACTAAAGCAATCTAACCTTTCAAAGCATGCATGTGCATATACACTCCACTAACCCAAGAAAAACCCTGATGGTGATCTCTTAAATTTAAAAGTGGGGCACAAGCTATTAGGTTCTGAGGTTAGTGAAAACACAGGAGAGCTACCCAGACAGAGAAGGGCTTCAGAAAAACACCTCGCAAAGCACCCTGCAATGACAAGGAGCAGCGTCTCCGTTAGACCAGGACTGAACTTTTCACGCAAAAGAATGAGATTCTACATAAAGAGTTGCTTCCTGGTTTTATGTTGATTGCATTTAAATCTCAGCTTACTGTATCAGCAGTTATCAGGGTCCCTCTACAGGATGTCAAAATACACCTTACTCAAATACATTCCTCCTATCTAAAACTGGTTGATAAAACAGTTTACCAATTAAACCTTACAAGAGCCCAGCTCTATGGCAAATGTTATTTCTAAACTTGTGACGGTTTACAGCCTTGCAAACGGTTTTCGTTACTCCATTGCCAAACATTTTAAAATGTATCCCAAAGTATTCAATTTCCGCGAACTCTCACATACAAGAGAGGTCTATTAAAAAGCAGTTGCAGTATTTTTTAAACGCGAGGGGCAATAACCCATCTTTAAACAACCGCCAGCTATTTAACATCTCAGTGTATTTGTCAGTACTACTTTGGTGCTACGTGGATGATAAACTAACTCCTGCTTTGTATGGGTTTGGTGTAGGCTTCTGAAAAGCAAGACGTGTCTAGGAGGGAGGCACCAGGGAACTTCCCTCCCTCACTTGAGCACAGTCCAAGAGGAAAGTTTCTGGGTTGTTTCCCCTTCGCTTCCTCTTACCCTCGCTCCCCCGCGGAGCCGCAGAGCCAGCAATTGTGCAAGAGGAGCCCGGCGCGCAGGGCGCGAATTACCGAGCGCTTGGTACGGGCGGCCGCGGGTGATTAATTATCCGTCCGCGGGCCTGGCGCTCTCCAGGAGGCTCTCCCGGCAGGGCAGAAACCGAGCTGCCTCGGGCGGCTGGAGGAGCAGGAGCGGCTCTGGGAGGACGCAGGGGCCGCGCCGAGTGTGAGTGCACAGCGGAGGGCGGCGGGCGGGTGGCGAGCCGAGCGGACCGACTGCGCCGCGCCCGGTCAAGGGAGCGCGGGTAGAGAGCAGCCACCACCGAGAGCGGACCTGACCGGAGGCCGCCAGCAGCGAGCGGGAGGGCGTGCAGCCTGCCGCCCGCCCTTCGGGCTGACCCCGCTGGCCGGCCGGCAAGGAAGCCTGCCGAGCCTCGCTCAGCTCCGAGGCCAGCTGCTCCAGACACCAGAAGCCAGCCCCGCTGCTGTGAGCGGCCCGCGTTTTTAGGACTGTTCAGCCGCAAGACCTACTTAGAGACGGCGGACACTTTGGCCAAGTCTTTCACACAGTCAGAAAGATACCTCTGTTGAGTAGTAGCCTTTTCTCTTTTTAACGGGAAACAAAGAAATAAATTAAGGATTCGTAAGACCCAGGCTGCACACTGAAACTTTGCAACAAATGCCTTTGCTTTCTCTAACTTCAATGTCCTTTCCCCCCCTTTCCTTAAGGAGCCCTTGGGGAAGCCATGAAGTAACTGCACATTCCAGTAACAGAGTTATGAAAAAAAAAATGTATCTTTTTGAATTTCAAAAACATTTAGAAAGAAAAGTAGCAGGAAGAAAAGGACACATAACTCGAGGTTTTGTTAAAGAAAAAAAATTGAAAGTAACTTACCTGTTGGGACATTCTGAACAGGAGGTTAGTATCAGCGTTTTGCCATGTCCCCATGAACCCTGGTTCAGCCGCAGTCGCTCTGGTTCCGAACTGCATGGAGTTGTCAGGACAGGAGTCTCTTAAAGTCAAGTCTCTCGCCCTCTTTGGCTCTCTGTCTCTCTGGGTGTCTCTCACATCCACTTCTGCCTCTTCTGACTGAAAAGTGAAGGTGGATTTTTTGAGCTTCTTGGCAGCCAGCAGCAGGAGTATAGTGTAGTTAAGAAGCTGCCTGAACTGTGCATTTCATTTGGGAAGGGGGAGATCTGGGGGAGGGAGGGGGGTCAGAGCTTCCTTCGCACCTTCTGCACAGATATCCCTATCATTTATGCATAGATTGTGACTCCCCGAGCTTGCCTTTGCTCGGTTTAACAGCTGCCTGTCAGGTGTGCAGGCAGCACTGGAGACCCAACCATCAGCTTCAAACCCGCAGCCACTGCATGTCATTGGATAGCAGAGCTAGGAGTCAACTGCACTGTTCCACAGTCAGACACCAAATGACACCCTGTAGTAACCTCTCTCCAGATACACAGACAGATACACACTCATGCATACTCCAAGCAATGCAACAGTCATTGTCCACAAGGCCAGGGGAAGACAGGGCCCTTCCCTGGGAATTTTCCCCAACAATGCTTTCCGCTATAACATGTTCTTTGCTTTAACACTTGTAAAACTGTGAGACTTAAATATTTTTAATTACATTGCAAGCAAGTAGTTATCTGGAGTAGAACATGAAGTTTGCTCAGTTGTTGTCTAAATATTAGCTGCCACAAGTCACACATACATGCTGAGCTATTTATAACCACTTATAAGCTCACAGAGAAAATAATGTAGAAATTTGACCTTCTATTCTAAAGGGTGAACAAGTAAACCTACTAGTTCAACATGGAAGATGCGCAATAAGCATATGCAAAAATAAATATGTATCACTTCTTATCTAGCATCCCAGGCCATTAACTACCAAACTGAAGGTTAAGTAAGGAGAAGCTGAATGCAAAAGAGGAAAATGAATACCTTTTCTTAAGGCTCACAAGCAGAATAAAATTCCTTTGTTAAAGTTCTCGGGTAAAGCATCTACAACATCCTTTTAAATCATAAAAAAGGCAAAAAGATGACAAAAAAAAAACCCTGTCCTATTTCAGGCAAAAAGTAATGCATATAAAAACTCCATTTTTCATTCAGGATCTCTATAGAAAATTCTGTTTCCCTGCCTGATGAAATATAACCTTGATAGGAGGTCATATTTTAATTAAACCAGTTTTAAAATAAAACATCTATTTATTAGATAATATTTATCCACCTTATTTGTGGAAAAGCAGAACTGAGCAAAATCCACTGTACACAAACACTGTAACTTCAAAATGGAGAGCTGAATTCATGCCGTCTCATAAAAGTAGTCAGCAGGAAAAAGCCATCTTTCCTAAACTTAAAATGTAAGGAACATTAATCTTGAGCCACTTACAAATACTGAGGACAAATGCACCACTCTGCTTGCTCCTTCTTAACTAAAGAATAACAATAAACCTTCCTCTCAGAAACAACAAAAGGAACAGAAAAGCGCTTCCATGGCAGCCCCGTGTCATTAGTGGACAATGAGAAAAGATGAGAAAACGCACGCTATGTTGACACAAATGTGCCTTCCCTTCTAGAACTGACATCCCTGAAAGCTTTTCTGTTAAACTTCCCTCCAGTTCACCACCATTAAGCACAAAAAAGTCTCAAAAGAAGCAAATTCAATATCTGAAAAGAAACAAACAAGAACCCAAAGAATTGTTGCCTTAAAATATATTAAGTCCACCTGTGGTCAATAAAAATATTCTTTTGCAGGGGAGGGCAGGAAAAGCCCCTATGAGTCAATTGTCAACGGTGACTGTACCTTTACTGCTATTACCCACTTAACTCCCTCTAAAATTTGCTAGCCTCTTGATTTCTGAAGTGGCACTCAGTGCCTCAGTCAAGCTGCCTGCTCAGCTCCTGACCTTCCCACTAATGGCTGTTATTTGTGGGAGGCTTAAGGACACTGTCAATAGCAAGCTTCCTCCTCTCTCCACTCAAGCACTGTTGTATCGCTCTGCCTGTGTGTTCTCTCTCGCCTCTCCTGCTCTCTCCTTCTCTCCTAGTCCTTCCTCCTAATTCTTCACTCTCCCTCACTCCCTCTTCCTATTTTTTTCCAGCCCCCACCCCTTTTCTCTCAGTTCCAAGATCCTCTTCTTCCCCCCACCCACCACAAGCACACACATACACACACACGCGCACGCACGCATGCACGCACACACACGTGTGCACACACACACAGTTACAACACAAAAATCAACTGGCATGCAGCAGCAAGCACCTGCAGTAATAGACTCTTTTATTAAAACTGTTATTCTGCAAGACTTGAAATTCCCCGTGGACCGGGCCATGTCAAAGCCGATATAATTAACTAGAGGCTCAGCAACGGATCAATTACCAGACAAGCAAGTGATAGTGAAATCAATGAAAGATCATCAGCCACATTATCAGTGTTGCAACTCATTAGGGCAAAACTGAGAAATGTGCTCCACTCGAGCCCAAGCAAGGTGGCATTACAAAACAAAGGGCTAATTTGGAGACCCTGCTGTGAACAATCTGTAACAGAATTAGCCTTTTTTCCCCCTAAACTGCACAGCTCCATAACTAAATGTGACAGACTGAGAGACGCAGTTTATTAAGACACCAACCCCAAGTTTATTTAGTTCATAAACTCTCTCCTAGAAAATCAATACAGTCTGTACAGGGTTATTAGGCTGACTAGCTAATACATCCAAATCCGGTCTGCCCAGCCAGCAGTCCGCTGACAAAATGCTACCCCGAGTCTGCAGACTGCAAGGTCTAACTGAACAAGTCAGCAGCAGAACCGTTACCTCGCTAGTCCTGCACAGCCACGCCTTAAAAACACCAGGACAGCTTTGTAAGATTTAAAAGGCAAATACCATGATTACACCGATTACACCGTACTGGACCTACCAGATAGATTTTCGTCAATCAGAATCTTAACTAGTTCCTAAGACTAGCTAAGAAAGAGTGAAAGTTCTGTTATAATATCACAGGAGAACCCAAAGAGTTAACCATAGATAAACGTATTAATAATACAGCACAAACCCAGAACATTTGTTATGCTTTGTAAATTTTAAGTTTCTATCATCCTTTTAATAAATTTTAGAAAATGAAAATCTGACCTCTCTAGAAATTCCTGAAATTTGTTATGGGAACTTGCCATTCATTTCCATAGGGAAAGTGATGAATCCTCAGTCTTTTAGCCAATGAGAGGCTTGAGTAATTTTAAAGACACGGGCCCCAAACAAACAACAAAACCAAGGCACTAAGGTACCTTCTAAGGTAGATTACAGAATAACTCTCCGGAATAATCTTTATCTAAGTGATTTACAACTAGGCAATTGGGATAAACATCTTTTTCACAATGACTGCTTCCTTTTTCCCTGATTCTAAGTCATGGACTTCAGGTTAAGGGATCACAAGCATGAAAGGTCACATGACTCTCCCCACATTTGCTGCGAGGGAGAAATGGGCTCTGTAAACCCTGAAGTGCACCAACTAGTCCTCAAGCCCCTGGAGAATCTGTGGAACTAGGAGTAGCTCCCCCTCGTAACAACACACAGCAACAATACACAAACACACAAGTCTCTTAAATGAATTTTCCAGTGCTAATGTCAGACCGGGACACTGAATGAGGTTAGGGGAAATAGCATTGGAAATGACTGATGGTGTTTTAATATTCCAAATGTTCAAAGGGAGAAAAAAACCACATTATNGCTTCAATATTCTAAATCTTAAACCTTAATTTAAAAATATTTGAGTAAAATTCAGTTTATGTATGCTAGAATTAAATGTTTGTTCCTAGAATTTTTTAGCTGGTTCCTTATCAAACATAACATAAGTCATGTTTTTAAGTAATATTTTAAAAAGTCAAGCATATATATTAAACCTTTACTATATGTCAATAATTTGGATAATAATTAAAAGTTGTAATTACAGAAAATTCTTACTTTTTAAAACCTTTTTGCACATAGCTACACACTGTGCATGTACCCTCAATGAGATCCAATTAGTTAACAAAGAATTTGCATTTCAGTTAGTGTGGGATAACAAGACTACAGGGAGGCACAGTGCAATTCCACCAACAGAGTAAGACAGTGTGTTCTTTCCTGTTAGCTCTGTAAGCAATAATTCCCACAAGTGGCTGTTTAAAATGTTGCTATCTTTTCAATATTTGGGAAGTGAGGTAAATTTGGGCCTTTCCTTCTATTTCCTCAAAAACTCCATGTTGATGTAAAAGTTAGTCACAGTTACTAAAGGACCATGGCAAGGAATGCTGGTTTGCATGCGCTTTTGGAGTGAACTAGTTTGGTGTGTCTGTGTGTTTAAAGGATAAATAATTTGTGTATATATAAGTATATATATACAATACGTTCATATATGAATGCATACATTTAAGACAATGTCTCACTACGTAGCTTTGGCTGGCCTGGAACTCACTGTGTACACCAGATGGACTTCAAGAGATCTGCCAGCCTCTGCCTCCCCTATGCTAGGATTAGAGTTGTGCTCCCCCATGCCCAGCCTTACTTTTCTTCTCAACATTTAGTTTCTTTAGAACTCACTACTTTCTTAAAGTCACTCTGGCTGGGAACAGAGAAGCCACAATAAGGATATCAGTAAGGATATGGCCCTGTGCTAAGGCTCTCATGCCCTGAGAAAGTACACTGAGAAAGCACTTGAGGGCCTTCCCCCCCACAGCTGTGACTACAACAATGTAAATGCTAAGCAAATATAAAACAAATGTATGGTGTGCGTACACAATTTAAGCGGCATCCCCCAGACTCGTGATGGCCTACAGAGCAGTACCTGTGCTTCCCTGGGTTCAGTTCTGCAGCTGTTAGCAGAGGCTGTCATCTGTAATGACAGTGGACTGGCCTTTGCTCTTCTTTTATTCACTGTTCATTTCCAAAGCTCGGTTAAGTACGGAGCTGGGTTAAAGATCAGTGGTTTTTCATGTGACACACGCTGGTATTCATCTAATGGCTTGTCAAGACAAAACTGTCCCTGTTCTTGCCAAAATAATAAAAATGACGCTCCACATCGCATGACAATCAGCACTTCCTCATGGCAAAACAACTCAAGCTTTTTGTAACTCATTTATTTTATAGGAAAAAAAATGTTAACTGGCTCTCCAGTCTCAATGTAGGCTGTTGTCCTCAAAGGAAGCGTTACTGTTTCTGCTCTCAGAACTCGAAGCAGTATGTAAGCTGGGCACTAATCAAATGCAACTTTAATATATAGAGTAATGCTGAGGCCCGGGTTCCTGATACATTAAGGTGCATAACTTAATATATGCAGATTATGCAGGGGCGGCAGTCTGGACTCAGCCACAGAGGTGGGGCAGGCAGTTGAGGAAATGTCATTTTTCTTGAGAACAAAGTGTGGGACTTGCTTTGCAACATCTGTTGGTCTGTGTGAAATGTTAACAGATGTCTTAAGTGGAAAAAAAGGAGAGAGAGAGTTAATAAAGGAAACCTCCTCTGAACAGATAATCCACCCAAATTTCCATATTCCCAAGGAAGAAGGTTGACAGCGGCCTTTCCCCTTGTGAAGCCCAATTTATCACGCAAAGTTTCATTTTCTATGTAAAGTTAAGGAGTAAAAATTCTCACTCACTATAAAAGAATAGAAAAAAGTAATAATAATCATAATTTCAATTTTTATCAAATTTCAAATGTTTGTGTTTACTTTATAATTACAGAGTTATCTATGTTGTTTGCTTTTCCTTGACTCATCAAACATCCAACACAAAAACAGTGAGCACACAAGCACACACACACACACACAAGCACACAACACACACATAAGGAATAATAGCTATGATATGGTGTGTGCATGTTGTAGGGAAGGGGAAGGAGTGAGAGTAAAAAGTAGTTTTTAGGATCAGCCATCTTTTGTTTTTTTGGCTGGTTTTATTTATTTATTTATTTGTTTGTTTGTTTTAAAGGCAGGGTCTTTCTACATAGGCTGTCTGAAACTCACCATTTAGCCCAGCCTGGCCTCAACTCAAACTCATAGAGATCTGTCTGCCTCTCTGAACCATCTTTTTTAGTGTAAAGGTATCCATCTTCACAGTTAAGAGTCACCTAATATTTACACCTACATTCTTGCTGGCTCCCAATTCCTCTCTCTCCATTACAATCTCTGGAAGAGAAGACAGACACACCGTGTTTCAACAGACAAGCATTCTCAAGAAGGAACATCTGGAAATTGTGGATCCCCATGTTCAAATCTGAAGGAACCTGGAAAAATTTGCTTATTTAGCAATTCTTTTTCTTGTTTCAATTTGTTAGATGACTGAACCAAACATGTAGGTAGCAGTCTTTAATTCAGGTTAAAAAGATGATGCATGGACCAGAGGGACATGGTAGCTCAATCCTTCCATCCCAGCACTTGGGAGGCAGAGGCAGGCAGATCTCTGGGAATTTGAGGCCAGTTTGTTCTGGTTCCAGAGCATGCAAGAGCTACATAGTGAGATTGTCTCAAAAATAAAACAAAGAGAAAAGAAAAATAATAAAAAAGATGATTTGTGCACTCCATCCACTGAATGTAAGCAAGTGTCATGTGTAAATGATCTGAACAACATAGGAATCTACTGTATTGCTTTTCCTACTAACATCTTTAAGGGAAGAATTTAGGGTTAGAGTCCATGAATTAGCTAATTCTAATTCACTTAAGGATCTTTATGGAGAGGAGAAGAAAAAAATCATGTTGTCATCTTTGACTGGAGTCTCAGTCCCCAAACCTCTCTCCCCCAAGAGCCTGTGCACCTGCTATGCCATATTTACAACTATACCTTTGCCAGAAGGCTTTGACAAGCTGGGTTGGGTCCTTCAACATATAGTAGCTTCAGCCAGAACATTTTGGCATGAAGATTTCAGGGAACAAGATCATGGTCCAATATGTAAGTAGGATATGCACATATGCCTTCATTTTTAGTTACTCTTCTGCCAAACCATTATGGACACTAAATACTGAGATGTTAACTCACAGGAACACCAACCACATCAGTGCACAGAACAGAAATAACTGCCGTGTACCGAAAGAAAAATGGTGGCCAGCACTGACAGAGAAAACCTTATGTATTAAAAATACCTTTATGTGACCAGAAAAGGAACACAGGTCCCTTAATATAAGGTTTGAGACACCTTAATTAGTGGCATTCAGATTCTCCGTAGGAAAATATCACTTAAAAGTGTCACCCAAAAGGAAGACAGTGCTCCGGCTGACACTTGTCTAACGGGGACTGAGATACAGCATTGTTGACAGCCTAATCAGGGGCTCTATTTTATAACACACTTCAAGGAAGTACCCAAACACTATAATCCTTTGATACTATGAAAATTGAAAGATTTGAGTAGGGTGTAGCCGATAAGATAGTTTACAAAATGCCAAGGAATGGCTGAATCCCTTGGAATCAGGGTTCATGTTTCAAAAAAGCATCTTCGGTTGGTACAAGCCTCATGCCTACAAAAGATCAAACATTTCCTACCGTGTTTTGATCTAAAAACTGAAAAATGACTTTAATCTCTTTGTGGGTACACGCAGTCACAACAGCTTTCTTTCTACCACGTGCTACAGTCGATGCTTTTTTTGTTTCTTTTTGGAGAAAATCTTCTAAAAGAATCAGTGGTATCTTTCCTTAAATGAATATGAGGAGGAAAAAAGGAAAAAGGAAAAAGGAAAAACAAAAACAAAACCAACAGGCTGGGGCAGGGAAGCGCACTGGGGAATTACTTTCATATGACCATGAAAGTTGCAGGATTGTAAAGACAATATTAATTTTTTTATTTACTTCCTTCTAAAAACTGCAGACTGAGATGCTGGCAGCTCCAGTAAAAATGTCATAATAATAGTTTAAATTACTGTCAGGAAGGAAGATTGAGATTCACTCGCACACAAGAAACCACGTTACAAGGGTGGGCTCAATACTTTACAATTACTTGAAAAATACAGCACTTTAAAGTTAACACATAAAAAAGATACAATGAAAATAATACACTACATATAATTCTCAAACCTAAAAAATAAATTTAAACAGTGAACTATAAGAACAAAGTGTCAAAATTCCAAGAATATTTTAGACACACACAAACACACATATACACTCTCACACACAAATATGCTCACAGACACATACATATATACACTCAGAAACAAACATAAGCACAAACACACATGCACTCACAAACAAACACAGACACACTTAGACACAAGCACATCTTTAAAGGGAAAAACAATGGTGCAAAGAAAATTTGAATGAACCTGTAGATTGGTTTTCTAATTTAAAAATTCTTAATGGGCAGAATTAACTGGTAGTGGACGGCATCTGGGTGGTAAGGGTCTCTGGTGAAGGGCATCAGTGGGAAGCGGGCAGACGGGAAGCTTTTAAAAATACAACCATGTGGCCAGGCCGTGGTGGTACACTATGTCTTTAATCCTAGCACTCAGGAGGCAGAGGCAGGTGAATCACTGTGAGTTCGAAGTCAGCCTGGTTTACAAGTGCTAGTTTCAGGACAGCTAGGACTGTTACACAGGGAAACCCTGTCTTGAAAAACCAAAGGAAAAAAAAAAAAAAGACAAAAAAACACAACCATCTTATCTACCTATCCAGCTGGTGTCATGGGTATGCTCATCCTGTGAAAACTCACCAGTTTGGACACACACTTGGGAACTTGTATAAACATGTATATACATCTTACACACACACAGATTATACTTCAGTTCTCAAAGATTACCACTACTAACAAGTCTATTACAAAAAACAGAGATGATGATAAGAAATCAGCCCTAGAACTATGTTAAAAAGATAAAAAGAAGGCAGATGGTGGTGGCACACACCTTTAATTCTAGCACTGGGGAGGCAGAGACAGAAGGATCTCTGTGAGTTCAAGGCCAGCCTGGTCTACAGAGACAGTTCTAGAACAGGCTCCAAAAGCTACACAGAGAAACCCTGTCTCAAAACAAAACAAAACAAAACGGAGGGAAGAAAGGGAATAAAACAGAAGACAGTTTATCTCAGTCAAAATCATTCAAATAACTGCCACAAAAATACTGCTTCTTATAATTTCTTCAAAAGCAAAAGTGTTGGGAAGCAAATAACAATATTCATTTCCTAACATGAAGTCAAGAGACAGTAAATATATGGAAGAAAGACTAACTGTGTGGAGGAACCTCGAAAGGACAATCAGAGCATGTGAGCATATTCAAGTGACTTAAATAGAAAGAGGAACATACCTCAAGTTGAGAGGGATCCACCCCACAGCATGGGACCTTGAAATGCGCCTGCCAGTCTTGATCAGCAAGCCTGCCCTCTGCTTTGTAACTGAGGCAGTTCGGAGGTGGGGAGGGCACAAAGCGTGCCTGTTGAGAGATTGGAAGAAGAAGAAATTACATATAGTCTGCAGACAGTATCATACAGAAACGGTCATTTCAACACACTTCATCTTCAAAACTGTAAATGTAACATTCCTCTGGCCACACAAACACTTTAAAAAGAGTCAATCACTCTGGTCTACAACAACCAATAGTTAAATACATGAACCATGAGAGAATAAACAATGAGGCAGGATAACAGAATAATTCACTGATGGGTAACAAGACGGGGATTGAGTACAGGGGTTCTTGTGCCCAGCATAAACTCCATTAAACTATTCCACCAGTCCACTTAGTCTCTTTTCTTGAAAGGGGGGCTGAAGAGTTGAGAGGATGTCTGAAACTGGGGCTACCAAATACAATTTCTACCACTAAGCTGCACCCCAACCAGTAGCTCAACTTACTCCATTTTCTTCCCTTAATCATAAAAAGAAAACCATTGTAAACCTTTTTACTCATTGTTTACCAAACTTCACACAAGAAGCTGTAAGAAACACCAAATAACACCAAAATAAGACATAATCCCTGCTCACAAGGAGTTTATGATCTAGTATAGAATAGAAGCTTTGCACAAAATTGCCTTACATAACTAGAGAATGTGGTAAGAGGACAGTAGAACCGTGTGATTAAGGGAAGGATGCCTTCCCACTGATATAGGGAAAGAAAGCCTCCAAGCAAAGGCAGCCTTTGTTCTGGGCACAGAGAGACTCTCAATATCCCTCTAGAGAAGTGATCCAGTTTGCCTAGAGCTTAGGTAGGATGCTGGACAAAGCAGTAATAAGCGAAAGGATGTGTAAACAGCAGAACTATTGGTAAACACCCCACAGTCCACACTGAGTTGCTGTTCTGTTTCTATCACCACCAGTCAAGTCTACTAGAAGACTTCAACAGCAGCAGCACCCCGTGATTGTCAGCATTCTGTAAGACAGTGCAGCAAGGACAACCCCTTAAATGTAAACAGAACAAAGATAAGAGATCAGTTAGGGAACTAGTATAATAAGCTAGGTAAAATAACTACTAGCAGATAAAGCTGATGAAGAAATGCAAGACACAAAAGAGATCATGAGGATGAAATTAAGGAGGCAAGAATGACTGATAGGATACCGATAACAAGGAGGCTGGACAGATGGTTCTGTGATTAACGAGAACACACTGTTCCTGTAGAGGACCCAAGTTAGTTCCTATGTTGGATGGCTCACAACTGCCTGTAACTCCACTTCCAAGGGATCTGATGTCTCCTGCTAGCCTCCATAGACAACTGCACTCATGTGCTCACCATCCCCAGAAGCAGACAAATACACATAATTAAAAATAAAAATAAATCTTTTGAAAAGGATATGGGTCACAGGAGCCAATGTTGACACTAGAGATCTGATTGGTAGCACCCCCTATAGAAATGTATGAAATAATTTAGGGCAAGACAATCAAGCTCAGTTTGAGGTAACAGATGATCACGGAGATAAGTAGGCAGTAGAAAGTTCAGAAAACAGACCAATACTGGAGTACCGGATTTGGATGTATCTATGTAAACATGGCATTAAAGGGAATTGAACATGGACACAATGTTCTTTGTGGTTATGAAGATAAATTGGCAAAGGATGGTTGGAGTTTTAGATAATACTTAGAGAATAATAATAGAAATTTAGTAGTAAATAGAACTATAGGAGTGATCTATCGATCAAGATACTTGACTTGGTAGTATGTGATATAAATGGCTAAATACTTCAGATGCATTTGCTATTAATTTGTTACTTTGAGTAAATGTATGTTCAATATACAATTTCATATATATATTTATATATAGTAACTAAATATTTTGTTGTGTTTACTTTGTTTTTTAAGATATTTTATACTTATAAATTTCTGGGTCATATGAGTTGTTTCGGTATAGTAATATGTATATATGATACATTTTATAAAAAAGTTCAGAAATACATAATGTGTAAAGACAAAGAGGTAGAAATGGTAAAATATTCTTTGAAGGCATTTTAAAAGAAAACAAAGTAAGAGAAATGTGGCCTGAAAAGTTAGCAGGGTTTAGAGAAGTGTATTTAGGAACAAACAGTTTGTTTTCCACTATAGCAGGTTAAAAAAAATGTCTACAGCAAGCAAAGGGGACAAAGTCAGCAGAGAAAAGGATATTGAAGATCTAAGCCAGAGGGAAAATGATATAAAGGGTCCTAGGAGAGAATGTAATAAGAACACAAATGAAAAGGTTCCCTGAAGGGAGAAAAAAATTTCCCTCAGAAACCAAAGGAATGATACAGGAAATTTTTCATGGTTAAGAAATGTAGGTAACTGTCAGGCGGTAGAGGCACATGCCTTTAATCCCAGCCACTTGGGAGGCACAGATACTTGGATTTCTGTGAGTTCAAAGGCAGCCTGCTCTACAGAGCGAGTGATTTCCAGGACAGCCTAGAAGACACTGGGAAACCTTGTCTGTAAACACCAAAAACCAGAAACAAAAGAAATGCAGGGATTGGGGTGTGTCTGTGTGCATAAATATATCAATATAACCTGCTAAGTCTATGCAATGTTACTTGCAATTACACGATGTCAGGACTGACCAGTTGGTATTGGATGACCAATTAGGGGGCCTCTTCCTGGGGGAAAACAACTTCTCTCAGCATCCCTGAGGTGCCTGTAGCTTTTTGTCTGGGGGTGGGACCCTGTGAGATTTCCCTCTTCCACTTTTTCCCGATGTCCCTGCTCAGGCCTTGCCATATTGTAACAATTAAGGAAGATGAGGCCAGGAATTTGAGAAGGAGCGAGGGTCGGAGCCATAGAAGTTGTTGGAGGAAGAAAAGGGAATGGAGAGAAATGATGTAATTATATTCTATTGAAAACAATAATAAATATTTTGATTTTTTTTAAAAAAGAAATGCAAATATTAAGAGCTCAGTTAAGAGCACTAAACAGAGGACAACCAGCGACGAGAAGAACGGGCTGCTTGGACAGGGTACAAGGAAAGATCAGAACCAACAAGGAGTGAGCAGAAGAAATGCGATTCGGCGGAAAGCCATCAGGAGCCTCTTCCCACTCAGCTGATTCAAACAATGCTCAGGGCTAGAGCCATGGCCCAGTGGCTAAGAACATGTATTGTTGCATGAGACAGAGTTCAGATCTCAGTACCACATGAGATGGCTCACGACTGTTTGAGCTGATGCCCTTTCTTGGTCTCTGTAGACACCTGTATGCATATATACACACACACAATTTTTAAAAAATTTATCTTTTAAAATTTAAAGTTAAAAAAAAAAGACAGTGTAGTTAGGAGTTGTGAATTTTGACTTTGAAAACTAGAATACTAAAAACCAGCAAGGGGTTCTTACTGGAGAGAGCAATGCCTTGCTCCAAAACACACAGGCTAGTAGGAAACGGAACTTTAGAAACCATAATGATTACATACATTCCCATAGTGATGAGTTCATATAAGAAAATAAAATACCAAGAACAGATTTTTAGATCAAATTATTTGATTTTTATTTAGTCATATCCCAATTCTAAGTATTTACAGAGCATTTTTTTTAAAAAAAAAAATGGCTATAATCTACTCCTGGCTTGAGAAACTCCCCAAAGCAAATAAAATACTGAAATACTTTAAACTATATCGCCTAAGCGACTTGAGTGAGATAGGAGGGGGAGATGTCTAAGAATATTGCTTCTTTAGGAAGCACGAGAGAAAGCTGAGAGGTTCTCTCCTCGTGCTAACTCCTACCTCCAGGCCTATGGAACCCAAAGTCACGTCAACTCTCCACCCAGTGAGTGCGGGTTGCATTCGCAGAACTTGTAGACTTGTAGTTCAGAATCCCTCTAGAGACCAGGGAATGATGAGTTCTATCACCCAGCCAGTATCTACAGTCACCAACGAATCACCTCAGGGACATGGACAAAGACATTTGTCTGCTGCACTGGTGGTCACTACAACCAGCCTTCCTAACAGAGTCCTTTCTGGAAGGACCACTGTCTGAGTGACCCGCCACACAGCTTATAAAGTAGCATTAATACTGTGGGCCAAAATGAGATTGATCTTTGAGCTCCGTGCTTGCCTGTTGTCAACAGTGCATTAGAAAACCAACACTAAATACTTTATAAACAGGTCTCCCTCCAGTGTATTAGAGAAACAGTACATCTCTCGTGCCCCGTAGTTAGGTAGCCACATATCCATCAGACTAATACATTATTTAGGAGACACTCAGAAGAGCAATAAGAGTCAGTAAACTAACTTCTGGATACTTATACGCAACCATTCCACTGGAAATTGTACCTGGAAGAGAAAACTTTCTCACTAACAGTGGTGGACGACAGAGCCTCTCAAGCATCCTGTTAGAAGGAAGCGCAGGCTTCTGGAGTGAGAAAGAAGACATTCTCATGGCCTGAAGAGAGTTTGGGTCATTGACCTTTGTGTGCTATCCAACTCCACCCTCATTTCTTTTATTTTGTATATACATGCCTGATTCTCCCATCCTCCTGGCGGGTCAGGGAAATAAAGACTGGCAGAAACATGTCTATCGTCCCTTGACTCAGGACACATGACAGCTTCCACTACTGCTTTCTACCTGTTATTGCAAAGGAACGACACAATGACTTGAGAGTCTGCACAAGGCCTGCACTACATATGCAGCATGGAACTCAGAAGTCATTGACCAAACATTTAAAGGAGCTTTTATTTCTTCATTTCTTTTTTTTTTTTTTGTCCCGTATTTTTGGTTAAAGCTCCCAAGCCCCTAGACGCCTATGATGCCGTCCCTGATGCCCAGTCTAGCATCACCCAGACCCCTCATGCCGAATTCTGCCATCCTGAGGGAGCACCTTCTGCTCGGGAATGTATTCAAGGAAGGATTTCCTCGGCTGGGAGTTATTTCTCAAACTATAAGAGGCGTGGACCTTTGTGTAGTACTGCGGTGCCATGGTTTCACATGCTGGCCACATTAATACTGGAGAGCAAGCATCTGTAACCCACAGCTGTGTGCGCTCCAGCCCCCAAG